TTGAAGGTTAATAAAATGATAAATTGAACAAATCAACTCTAAGTCAATGGGAAATTTTAATTGTAATAAATGATAATCATTTATCAACTTTGTTTGCAATCATAATTCATGATTGAAATAAACTTGATGCATATGAATTTAAAACATAATTTCAAATTATTTAAATGAACCAACAGCTACTGTGTTGATTGTTACAATCAAATTAAATTTTAATAACAAAGTTTCAAATTCCAACAGTAGATTAACTCACTCAGGTAACAAGTTAATTAATCAAAACTTTCATTGAGTTCACAATTTTTTCAGAACTTTTTTTTTCTGATATCGAGATTGATACTCTTTTCCTGAGGGAGTTTTTCATTACCGAACTCAAAATTTAAATGTTCACCTTGATTATCAACATTTTCAACAATTAAGGTTTCATTTTAATTTACTTTTCCTAATCAGATCAACGGTTGATTATGTGTTACCTGTAGATGATTAACTTTAATCAACTATTTTTCTTTGTGCTTCCAAGTTGATTGTTGTAATAACTGAACATTTGACTTGTTACAATTCAGTTGAGGATTTGAATCAAATGAATAATCTTAATCATCTTCAACTGATTAACTAACTGTAGTTACATTAATGATCCAACAATACAAATATATTAGTTGTTGATGTTTATAATTCAAATTAAGGTTCACAATAAGATGAGTGTATGATGAAATTTAATCAAATAATCAAAAGGGAAAGAGTATTAAAATTTACCTCATCAATTAGTTAATCATCTTCATGGTGATTTAATAATACATATGAATGATGTTCATTTGTTCAGATACAAGTTTTACAAGTCAACAATTAAGGTTGACATTGGTGATTGTTACTTTCCAATCAGAGACTATGTAGTTTACTAGTGTTACTGATGGAAATGATTATAATTGTTATGGTTGATTAAATTTATTCAACAATCAAAGGGGGAGAGAGAGAGAGAGGAAAGTTCTGAATGTTTTCGAGAATCGGTTGAGCAATTTCAATGAAACAGATAACAGGATAACAATTGATGATGATATAAAAAGATACAGATTGTTATTGTTCAGGATTCTGATTCTGAGATATTATCATTATTATTAGCTGTAGATGTGTGTGTATATATTTTTGGTTCAATTATTATTTTCCTGATGTCATTAAATTGCTTGATTGTTACTCAAATGACCAAATGAAAATCCCATGAGATTCATGGTAACAATTGACAGGACATTCAACTGTTAGTTAAACGATAATGATATTAATATCATGGGTGTCATGTTGGTGTTTCAGTCTCTTCCCTGAATTCTGGTGCTGATCAATAATTTCTGGTTCTAAATCTCTGGTATCAGAATTTGTCAAGGTTTTGTTTTTCATTCCTCTTTACGATATACTAACAGAAAGACAAAAAAATGATTTGATAAATTGTAAAGAATTGAATTTTTCATGGTAATCAGTTTTACCACTTCCATGATAACCTGTTGTGAATAATATTTGATATTAAAAACCCCGGCTGTGATCACACTGACCACACCACACCCTAACACTTTAAGTCAATTATTGAATACATGAAAAAAGGTTGATGGACAGTTAATGATGATGATATTTAAAATAACGCTGAGCCTGTGAACTTTTCCCTGAACTTTTATCATGAAATTCACTTTCTATGTTTATTTTCAGGTTACCATCGTCATCATCATCATAATCTGTTTGATGATGTAAATAAGGATGAGCAAGTTTAATGATTGAATAAGATGAGACAGTAAAATAATGAATAAAAAGCTGAGTGAAAAAAAAATTACAAGTTTCAGTGATATAAATGCTCAAGTTACCATGGAGATGGTACTGGGATTGATGGAAAGATATTCATGATGATGATGATGATGATGGTGGAGGAGGATGATGAGGATGTAAAAAAGGTTATCAAAGATGTTGGAAGCCAGATTAAAAGGAAATTGGTGAGAGAGAGAAAGGGAATTGTAACTTTGTAGGTTTGTAATCAGTTGGTGGTTGGAATTTTTTCCTTGCTATTAAAGAGCCTTCTCTTTCTTGTACTCATGATCATCATGAAATCTTCATGTTACTCTGATAATATTGAGACTCATTGTTGTTCATCATCTTCATTTGCTTCATGAGCCAATCAAATAATAACCTTTTTTTCTGTCGCTGCATGTGATCATCATCATCATCATCATCGTGGTTACAAAAAGGATGATGATGCTAACCGGAAGATGAATGAATAAAATTGAAAGGATGATTAGGATGGTGGAGGTTTGATTGTCTTTTTCATTGATTGACCACAGAATTTTCAATTGAGCTAAATTTAAGTAAATCATTGTGATTGTATTTTCTATCATGTGAGGATATCATATCATTAATGTCATTTGAGTTTCACGTTCATTGAATTACATTTACCATAAATAATGTTAGTTGATGATGATAAGCATCATGAGTTTCAATTCTGATTGAATTGGAATAATGTTTTTCTTTTCCCTTTTCTTCAATATTGTTTTAATCTTCATCATCATTATCATTATTATCATAATCAATGTCAAGAGTTGCCCAATTGTTGTTTTATTAAATTGTTCTTGTTTCTTATGTTCGTGTTCATTGTCGATTAAATTTGATCTTAACCATGATTTGATTCTGATTCTAAGGAATATCAAGAAAGTGAGAGAGGGAGAAAGTAAAAGATTGATACTGAACAATGGATAATTTCACCTTCACCCTGAGACTATTCTGTTAGGATGAAGAGGAGGAATGGGGAGAGTGGGTTAGACAGGCGAGAGAGAGAGAGAGAGAGAGAGAGAGAGAGAGAGAGAGAGAGAGAGAGAAAGATGGGGAGTGGAAAGAAGTTGATACTGTTCATAATGAAATAGAATAGGTTAAGAATAAGTTCTGGGAATAAGCTGCTTTTAATCAAGAGTAAGAGAGAAGAGGAACTTGGGAGTTGGAGAAAAAATCTCTGGATAGTTGCTGGTGGGGTGGAAATTTGTAATATACAGAATTAAAGAGAGAATATGTAATTTATTGGTTCGATCAAGTGAATTGAAACTTCTTAAAACTTTGTGATAGAAATCAAAGCTTCATGGAGACAGGGGAGAGAAAATAATACAAAGAGTGAGAGAGATTAAATGTGAAAAGAGGCAAAAACATTTAGAAGAAAAAAAAGTTCTACCATATTGATTGGATAAGTTATTCTGGTTTCTTCATGATATCATGAAATATTACTCAGGGTGGAAAAGATAAAGAGGAGGAAGAGGAAAAGAGTCGGAGAGAGAGAGAGAGAGAGGAGCGGGTTGATTTATAAATAGTTCTAGATAATATTTGGCTGAATTTGATAAAGATGCAGAAAATGAATTCATCCTTCACCTTTAATCATGATTAGGAAGATTATTATAAAAATGATTAACCAGTTATTTCCCCTGTAATGATAACAGTCAGGGTGATGCAGAAAATGATATTCAATTTGTTTGGCTGATTAATTAACTCTTACTCAAAAGATTAGATCGGATTAAGGGAGAGACAATAATAAATTAGATACAAAAATAGTTACAGCAAAGTAAAAAACTTAATCATTGTTAAATCATTAAATTATAGACATTCAAGTTTAACTAATTAGTTAATTAATCGGATTTCAATTTTGACAGAAACAAATTATTGTTATCGGTGGTGGGATTAGTAACTGGGTGGGTTGAGCTTCAATTAGATCAACATTATGATGGATTAAAAGTTTTGAGTAGGATTAAAGTGTTGATTGTTGTGAGTGATTTAAATTGTGTCTTGTTGATACAATCTAATTGAAAGCACTTAAAGTAAAAACGTTAATGAGACTCATAACCATGAAAAGATTTAGAAATTTTTTTTCTTCTTCAACAATTTAATTTTAATTCTGTTAATTCTGTTAACACACCAACAAGTTAAATTGTTGATATTGTTCAAGCTAATTATTATTATCATGTTATTGTTCAACATTATCGTCTTAACATGATGAGAGTTTTTATTTTTATAATAATCACCATGGGGAATTCAAGTTACTGCCTGATTTCCTGGTGATTATTTGACCTGATTCAGGATAGATAATCATTTAAGTTCTGAGATTCGAATTCATTGTTTTGAAATTTGAAGAAAAAAAAAATATTCGTATTCAGTGAACACATTCAATGGAACTGTTATCGAATCGTTCTTTGAATCAACATTTCATGGACTCATGAGGCTCATCATGAAAATCGCCACTATCATCATCATTTATTTTCCCCAATTGAGCCAAATGGTGAGAGATAAGATAAGAAAAAAGTTCGAAAAAAAAACTTCAGAACTTTACTTTCGAAAGTATCATTCTCATCTTCCTCTGATAACATGATGATAATTGTGAGTTTAATCTGGTGGAAAATAGATAAACCAAGTTGATCTTAATTGTTAGACCAAAATTATCAACTAGAACAATTTATTCTTGTTGATGATTAAAACTCAGTAGTTGATCAAATTATTGGTCAACTTTTCTTGATTGTTTTTGATTAGCATGTGAACATATTAATTATCAGTATCATTGATTGAATATCAGCCCACAAAACTATTTTGATATAGTTGATTGTGACAATATCATAATCCGCTAATTGTTGTAAGTTAACCCAATTGTTTATTGACCAATTATGATTATCACTGGCTTGAAAAGTACAATTAGTTGATGATAACAATCAGTTGATATCAAATTGTTATCACAGGCAATTTGTTTCAACCTCTTATTATGATTATCATTGTTATCAAGTGAAAATGAAAACTTAATATGATTTAATGATGACAATTAACTGTAAATGATAATTTATTATCATAATTAACGTTTATTATCATTTACTTGTCATCAACCAATTGACCAGATAGTAAATTTAATGATTATCGTTGATTGTTGATTCACCGTTGATCGAACCGATTTCAATTTGATTTGTGTAACAATTAACTTTTTTTTCTCACTAATTTGTTTTACTTTCATTTATTAGATTGGATTTTACTTTTTGTTTCAATTAAATCAATTGATTGGGATAAGCTAATACAATAATCACCATTTAATCTGATAATCAATTGAACTGAATACTTGAAAGGTAAGTTAATCATTAATCATTTCAACTTTGATTAAGTGTCCTAAATGATTATGTATTAGACAATTAAATCAATCGATTCAACATAGATATGAAATGATTGATTAATGATAGTTAATCAAAAAGCAACATCATTATCATGATGATTTAGTTATGATAATGATTTTCGGGTTGACAATCAGCTGATATTAGGCAACAATCAAAAATGGAGGGATAATGATTATAATCAAAAAGACGATGATGAGAACAATAAACACTAAATGTTGATTTGATTGTAAGTTGAAAATGAAATGATTGATTAGTTAATCCATGGTAAAGATATAATAGAAATCTAATTTCTGAATGATCGATGGTCCAAAGTTAGAACTTACAAGATTAGAACTTTTCGAATTTTCCTCCTCTCTCCCCCCACCATTTTAATCTTCATCTCATCATCACCCTTTCAACTGACCAGTATCATCATCATCTTCCCTTCAAGCTACTTCCTTTTTACTGACCATTAGATTTATCCTCATCTTAATCATCATCATCATCTTAACAATTAGCTGATGATGTTTTGGTTGGTCAAGGGAAAAAAATGCTTCCATTGACCAAAGAGCAAGAAAAAAAAGTCGAAAAAAAAAACTTTTCCTTTGCTCTCTCTCTCTCATCTCTCTCCATTAAATTAGATTAATCTATTAGCCATTAATTGTTATCAATCAACATTATTAACATCATCATGATTTGTTACTATTAAATGATTTGTTTTTTTTTCTGGCTTGATGATAATAGGAATCGAGTAAATTGATCAGTTGATTGTTTGTTATTAACAGAAAACATATTTAATAACTTTCGCTTGTTATTATTAAACTTTTATTCGTTGATTAATTAACTAAAGGCTTAACTGGCCATTGTCCAGTCTCTGTATTATCATCAATTGATAAATTGTTGTTATATCGCTCATCAGATTAGTAATAATATAATAATGATGATAATGGTCATACTAATGGTCAATTTGTTTTCAGACCAAACATTTTAGTCAATGATTAACAAAAAAAAGTACTGGACACAAAAATAGAGTAACAAAAACATAATTAAACTGATCATTGGCCATATCATTGAACTTTAATGATTACGTTATGATATTTTGATGGATTAAAATTGTCTAATTGTTTCGGGAATATAATACAACAATTAGTAATCCTTTTAATTGTTAATATACATGTTTGCTTATTATTTGTCAATTCTTGATTGTAAAGAGATTAGATTTTTCATGTTATATTAACTTTAACTCAATAATAAATTACTGATGTGATTAATTGTTGATAAATCAGTTGATTGTTATCAAAGTTTAACAAATCAGTAACTTTATTATTATTGTTCATTTACAAAAGTTAATCAATCATAAACTTACTGATTAACAATTTATGGTGAAATAAGATTAATCTGAGACTTTAATAATGTGAAATAATCATTATTCAGATCATAATTCATGTAATCACAATTAAATGAACAATCAAGTTTTCACTTTGGTTGAAAAATTAATCTGTTCAATATCAAATGGTAGCCTCAGTTAACGTCGTGATTAACTGTTATGATTAATTGATTGTCGGTGAAAACAAAATCACATATTAGCCTGAAAGAAACATGATAATCAAAACCAAATGATCAACTTTTTGAATTAATCACAATCATCAACTTTGATTAAAAAATCTTAATCTTAATCTTAATCCTTGAGAAAATCTATTGTCCAGTCGATACACAATAATAATTGTTCATACAAAATGAATGAAAAAAAAACTTTCGCTTGACCATTAATACATAATCATCATCATCATCTTCATCATTATTATTGTTTGTTAATATGATTAAATCCTTTGGCAAGATTAATGAACTTTTTATTGATAATATTGCCTTGAAACATTAGGCTGATTAATTTGAAATGAAAACTGGACAACAACAACAACAATGTTACAAGTTTCCGGTCACTCAATGTTGACCAGTCTAAAAACAAGAAATGATTTACTGGTAAAATTGATTCCAATGATTATCTATAGGAACATGAGAAATGAAAACCAAACAAAGATAATCAGACTAATCAGAATTTCCCCTGAAAAAGAAAAGGTAAACAAAAATAATATTTATTAATATAAATATGTTATCATGATGATGACCATTGGGAGGTGGGCAGTTGTGAGTATTGACCATGAATGGTGAAGATGAGGGGATGAAAATAAATCCACTGAGCAATTGACTTTGTTCAGGGTGACACAAAAGGTTTCATGATATATATTCAATGAATGAAAAGTGAAAAGGTGGAGGAGGAGGAAAGAGGAGGGTGGATGATGATGATGGTGGTGGTGGTGGGTTAGTCTTTTATCATTATTATTGTATTATCATCATCAATAGGATGATGATAAGTGAATTGTATTAATAAGATATATATCTTTATATATATACTGAATTCTGAGCTGATTAGTTGGAATTCTGTTTCTTTCTTTCATGAAGATAATCAATCGACTGAATTTCAAGTTATATTTATACTCTGAACTGAATTAGAGAGTTGAATATACGCTGATGGTGAATTATCATCATCAAGTGAGTTTATTTCATGATATAAAAGGCAAGTCTCTTGTTCAGCTTATGGCTAAAAACCAGGTCTCCAAAAAGAGACCTCATGATGAAACCAATTGAACGTGACTCACTAATAACTGAATCAGAATTGTAAGAATTGAATTGAATTGGTCAAGAGTGTGTAACAAAAACTGGATAAGGAAGTTGGTGATAATCATAATGATAATCATATTAATGATGGTTTCGGTTTATTGGGGTGGGAAAGTTTCTTTGGAAAAAAAAATAACATAAAATGTTTCTGCTTGGATGAGAATTCTGATAAACATATTGGTCAGTAATGGGTCAGTCAAATTTTCATGTGGTTTATTTGGTTAAACTTGAGTTTCAAGGTTTGTTATTGTTTGGATTCAGTGTTTATCTTTTTTTTTTACTGTTTTTGTTTTTGTGGATAAATTTTGGTCAGATGAGATTTTAAGTTTATGAGATGTTTCAAACAGAAAATAAGGATGGACAATGGTCAGAGACCTTGGATGCTAAGAGATATTTTGCTTCTCTCTCAGATAATTGTTTCATCTTATCTTTTTTCGTGTTTATTTTCTGTCTGAAAAAAAGTTCAAAATTCTGAACATTCTCGATTGAAACGTGAAGGTCAGTATATCTCAACCGACCAACATGGAGAGAGAGAGAGAGATAAACAATATCCTTGAAATAAAATTGATTTGATAAACTATCATTTTCTGTTTTCATTTTATTATCAAATTATGGTGACCAATGGACAGGGAGTGAGAGAGACACTGCTGACTCATCCACAATTTGACACAAATGGTCAGTCAGATTAATTGTATTACCGATATTAATAAAACATTTGACAATCAATTGATTCGTAAAAGATTAAATTTTTGAAGAGATAAAATTTTCTAATTCAATATTAACTCGCTGGTCGAATTTTGAAAAACTTGAAAAGTGTTTTATTTTGTTTCATTGGATTTCAAATGATTTAAACTAAACTGTTTCCAGAATTGATTGTCATCACAATTGAATATCTATTCATTATGATACATTAAGATTGAAGCAAGATAACCATTAGCCAGAATAAGAATCATCTGGGAATTTGAAAGTTGCTATCATGGAGGAAAAGTTTAAAAGAAATTTTCTTTATTCCAAATTCTGATTTCAGAACTTTTTCTTTATCTAAAATGCTATTAACAAAGTGGTGACCAATGTCCGAATTTGTATAACTTGAGATAATACTGAGACTTTGGTGATGATAAGTTTAAATAGTGAAGGAAAAGAGAAACCATTTGATGAGATTGAATTTCAAATAGTTTCTTTTTCTCAAAGAAACAAATAATAGTTACGATAACATGAGAATCTGGTTTCAATATATTGAATCAACGTCATGGAATCACATTCTATCATCATTATCATCATCATCACCATGATGATATTTTTACATGTATCAAAAATGATCAACACAAAAGTTAATCAAAAAATTTTCTTATTCTCCCTGTTGATTTAATGACAATTTCATTTTCATGATTATTATTCAGTCTCATGAACAAGAGGAGGAAAAATTAACCATGTAATTTGTCATAAACATTAAAACTCCTTATTCATCATGATGATCATTTTTTTTATCTTCTTCTCAAATCATTGCGATAGTTTCAATGGATACATTCAGAGACTGAACTTTTACCTCCCACTTTCATCTCATGAGCTCCAAAGTTTCATCATTGACTTTTTTCCCTCTTCATAATGAATTCACCATGAAATCTACATGAACAGATTGAATTTGATGGTTTAAATTTGATTAACCACCAACAATCTAGCTGATGATAAACAATTTAGAAACTGATTGAAAGGTTTCAGGGGATTGGAACTTTTTTGTTTTTTTCCTTTTTCCAAAATCTACTTTAAATTAAGTCATCAGAATGATGATTATTATCAGATTTACATGATAAATTCAATCAATAAGATGAAAACCTGAGCTCATTTTAAATTTTCTACATAAAACTGATTCCATTTGAGTTTCAATTGATTTTACCGTTAGATTTTTGTTTACTATAAAGTAAATTAAATCGGTTTCATCTTACTGATGGTGATTTTATTCATCAATTACATGATATTATCTTTGCGATAATAGTTAAACAATCGTACATGTTGATCATTTTCGAGATGATAATTATCATCGTGATGATCATAAATGATCATTACATTAAATTCAATTGAAAAAGATCATCATGATCAGACTGAAAATCTATCAATCCTTTTATCTCATTCATTCTGAATTCATTCTTGAAGCTCATCTTCTCATGCTAATGATGATGATGATTGTGATAATGACGAGCATCATAAGGAGCTTAATGATAATAGAAAAGTTTTGTCACAATCAAAAAGAATAAAAAAAGGAAAAAAAATCAATCGATGGACAAAAATGATCGTAACGATAT